AGGCGGCCTGGCTGAGTTGGGCGGCCGGCGCCGCCGCCTCTCTGCTCTCCCCGGGCGGGGCCGGTGCGTGCTGGCGGTCGGGCTCCGGGGGCTTCCCGCTGCGCCCTCAGGCAGGAGGGGATGGGAGCCGCGCCCCAGCAGCAGCCCGTGTTGTGCCCTGGGCAGATCCGCTGCCCGCTGCTCAATAAACATCAGCTGGACAAGAGATCACAGAAGGGGTGGTGGCGATGGGGCCGGGGGTTGGGCCAGGCTGGGCTTGGGACACGCTTCCTGCGTGTGCCGGGTTGGTTGGTCCAAACTGCCTCTCCCAGGGTGGTTGGGAGACGACGCCAGCCACTGTGGGGCTGGTCTGTCACTTATAGAGAAGCCAGGCTGGATGAGACCTCCAGAGGTCATCTAGTCCAGCGGTTCTCGACCTGTTTTGTACCAGGGCCCATTTGTAGGCATCAGTGGCCAGTCCGGACCCAGTTCCCCTCACCCCCCAGTGTGAGAGGCAGGGGTGGGTGGATGAGGTGGGCCAACAGGGCAGGGCCCAAGAAGCTCTCAGAGGCTGGAGCTCTGCCAGCCTGCAAGGGAAAACCTGCAGCTTCCCATATCTTTCTCCTCTGAAGGAGAATCCATTTCTAAAGTTTGTTCTGAACCCTTCCATATATTCCTGTGACCTAATTTTGAGTCAGGACCCGTGGGTTGAGAAACACCAATCTAGTCCAACCCCCTGGCTGAGGCAGGATCTGCCCTCTCCAACCCATCCCATGTTACCCTCACCTAAACTCTGCCTAAAACTACCCGCAACTAACACAACACAGACTTGCCCCCCTAACTGGTGATAAGTAAAGCAGGAGAGTGCCTGGGCTGTGCTTGGGTGGGCTGGCTGCTCTCCGGGTGACAGCTTCTCCATACACGTCTCCAGAATTTCACAGTGGCGCCACTGGCTGCTTGGGCACGTGGAGGGGCAGCGGGTGTTGGCCTGCGTCCCTCTCCCCCAGGACCCTTGTTAACCTGTAACCTTCACTCCCATTCCCCATTTCACTTTTGTTGTCCACAGTAATCAACTGTTACGCAGCCTCCTTGTAACCAAGAGCAGCTTATGGGTTTACTTGTGGGCATAGGCCCACACCATCTCTTTGATATAATAAATAGGCCTGATTGTTTTTAGTGCTGGATGTGGCTGTCATTTGGAGCTCTGTGTTGCTTCTCTTGAGTTTTTTGCAGAGTTAGGGAGCAGACTGGAGTCATCCAGTCTTGATTTACCATGTTTGGTAACGCCCTCTGCTGCTGCTACAGCTGCTGGTTAGGGCCATCTCTCACCTCCCTCATCACTCACCTACAGAGTCAAAGTATGATATATGCAGTTTAACTTTTTACTTTTGGAGACAAGTATATGGACCTATTGGAAGATGTGAATGCTACCATATGCTTGAGAGGAGGGTTAATACATTTCATTGTTTCATTTTGCAACAAGCGATTTTGTACCAGTTAGTTAAAATCCCTGATTGATCCTTTAGGATTTTTATAGGGGGTTTTTTTGGTGGCTGTTTTGTAGGGTTGTTGGCATGTGTTAATGAAATAGGCCACCCATGACCAGCAGCAAGAGAAAGTTAGGAGATGATTTTTCACAAGAATTCCCCACCTGAGCTGAGATCTGCTGAGCTTTCCATTTGCACATGCAAAGCTCTGTGTAGAGATTGCCCATTCTTGTACCCACTCTTTGTTTTATGCCTGCCTGTAGGAACCTGTTAAATGGATCCACTAATATTGCTGTCTTGCCTGGAGAAAACACTTGTAGCTGTGGAAATCAAGAAGGCCTCTGTGGCTTTATTTAAACTTGGACTGAAAACCAAGCTGCAGAGAGATTATAACCAGTAGGCAGACTGGTTATAATCCAAACAGTGTTTGTACTATCAGCACATGTTTAATCACCCTTTTGAAGTGGTGGGAGAATTGTTTTCAATAATGATAGACCTTTGGAAGGTCTCTTCAGTATGCTGGCTTTTAAGTTTTACTGAAAACTTGAGTTCTGAGTTGTAATTGTAAAAATTTGCAGTGATGCTGTTTAAACAATTAGCTTGTCCAAAGGGGCCCTGCAGGGTATGTAAGAAACATTCTTATTTGTGGGACTTGAATTTGGCAGTGAAGAAGAATGGCCTGTTGTGGTTCAGTGGAGAATCAGTTTCAGTGTTGTAACCTCTTTCCCTTCAGCCCCCAAAGTCTATTACAGAAAAGGAAATGTTCTCCTCCTCTTCAGTTTCCTTCATCTGCATTTTCCACTGACTCTAGCAGCTTAGTATTACTGTGCACTTAAAATGTCTTTCTTGATAGATTTAAACAGAGAAAATGGCGGACAGACCCATGTGGGAGCAAGTTGGAACAAGCTTTGTACATCTCTATTACCAGCATTTTGATGCCAGCAGGGTTCAGCTGAGTGCTCTCTATGTAAGTATTGCCTTGAGCTGGATGCTGAAACGTCCTCGTTAAGACATTCAAATGATTAATTATGGGCTTGACATTTCTATCTTTCTGCTACAACAGTAGCAGTGATATGAATGACACAATATGCGTCTGCTAAAGGGAACGGAAGCAAGCAAGGATGTCCACCCAGGTCAATCTGAACTCCTTAAATTTCCATTTGCCCTATAAATTGAGGGTCCTGGTAACAATTTCTCACTCCTGTTGCGGAAAAATTGTTGGAGAGAACTCTTCTAAGCCTTCCTTTCTGATCACCAGCCATAAACGTGTTGGTGTTGTATAGCTGTTGTCCCTCCTGCTGGAGGGAGGGCTTACGTGAGCTGTCTGTCAGGCAGAAGAAAAAAAGCTTCAAAAGCTGAAAGGGGCAAGCAAGGTAGTCTGTGTCTGCTTTTTTGTATATCACACCAAAAAACTCATCTTAGATTTTGAGAATTGAACAAGCTACCGCAGTTAGTGTGAGATGATATGAAAGGGGCTGGAAATAGAATGGTCTTCATCAGGGGTGGGCAAAATATGGCCTGTGGGCCAGATGCAGCCTACCAGTTGATTGTATCTGGCCCGTGGCTCTTCCTGTGGCACTTTGCATGTGGCTGAACCGTCGAATGCCCCACATGCCTAGCCAGGCGGAGGGGGAAGCTGCACCTGTGCAGCTCCTGTCCCAGCAAGTGGCTGCTCATCAGGCCACATGGGCAGTGTGTGTAAGGTGGCCGGGAGCTGGAGCCCCAAGCACTGGGGCAGGAGCTACCTGGCTGCAGCTTCTCCCCACCTGGCTAGGCATGTAGTGCCCAGCATGTGTCCCCACAGCTGCTGCCACTTCCTTGCACTGCCTGCTGCCTGGAGTGGTGCAGGAGGACGAACCACTTGAAGTGGGGGGAGCTGAGCAGTACCCAGAGGACTGTAGCAGCAGTGGGAGCAGCCCCACCGGGAAGCTGTGTACACTGTTGAGGGCCAGGGCTGTCAGCAGGTGTAGGGCAGGCGCAGGTGGAAGCACAGCATAGGTTGCCCTGGGCTTCCCCCTCCACCTGGCTAGGCATGTGGGGCATTCAACGAGCTTTAGTTAAAGCAGCTCTGTCACCATTTTTCAGTGTGGGGACGCTGATACACATGATGCTCTGGGCACTTTAATTAGAGTGGCGCTCAGAGGAGCATCTCTGCAGGAGCATCTCTGCTGGGAAGGTGTGCACAGCGGAAGTGTAGCATGGGTAGCCCTCCGTGGGAGTGGATGTGGTTTCTCCCCATGTGGAGCACCACGGAGGCAGCAGACCACACCTGCACCTACACTGCACTGCACTGCACAATACTACACTGCCCAGGCAAGCTCTGCTACTTGTGCCCCCTTCCCCAGTTGGCTCTCAGGACCTAGCACGCAGGCAGCCTTCCACAAACATGCATACACCTCCCCTCCACACATACAACTCCCTTCTCCCTTTACATGCACAATATGCAAGAGTAAAACTATTCTGAGCTATTATACAATCACCTCTATATACACTACTCAAAAAACATAAATTCTTTTTAAAATAAAATTAAAATATGTTGTAGTAGATGTTTAGTTTTAATATATGATTTTATTTTGTTTATAGTTTGTTAAAATGATATCTTCTGAAAGATTTTATATGTGTGGCCCTTGACAGCTCACCCAAACTCATTAAGTGGCTCACCGTCCAAAATAATTGCCCACCCCATGTCTACATGAAAGCTTACTTGACTCTAGCAGTATCTCTTTCTGGTTTTTGACATAAGACTGGAAGGGACGTCCTGGATCATCAGGTCTGTCCACTGTGTTTTCAGGCAGTTTAACCAATCCTAAAAATCACCATTTTAAACCCTTGCATGCACACAAGGCACAACACTGGAAAACACCAAGAACACCTCATAATATGTCATTGATAAAAGCAGAGAAAACAAGGACATTGTCAATGCCCTGCTATTCCAATGGCAGTTAATATATTTTCAGATTTCAGGAAAATATGTCTTTATTGACCGCGTTGTGAACAGCTTCATCTGTAACAAATGCTTATTTACTAAAGCCTTAATAAGTAGTTCCTGAATTTTGTGGACCAGTGAACCACTGTCACCCCTCAAGATTTCATGCAGAATGTCACTCACCGTTAACACTGTTAAATAAAAACACTGTTAGCTTGCATGGAAACCAGAATTTGGGAAATAACTAGTCTAGTTCACAAGTATTTTACATGCATCAGTCTAGGATACATTTGCAAGACTCTTCTGTCTTACCTTGCTTCTATAGCATTGACATATAAGTGATTTTTGACAGCCATGCTTTCTTTCCAGATGGATGCTTCTTGCTTGACATGGGAAGGGCAGCAATTCCAAGGAAAAACAGCCATCATGGAAAAGTTGATGGTATACTTCTGTATCTACTAAAAATTAAGAGAAAGTTGCCATTAAAAAAATAAGTCTTTGTCTCACTGAACTGCCTTGCAGTTTGATTTACAAATGAAAAAGTAGGAGAGATGACTCTCTTCTGTGTCTGTTTTGCATAACTGTTTTTGGTGTTGAGAAATACTGGCAGTTGCTGCTGTGAAATTACTGTTAAAATGACGTTGTGGAATTCCACGTTTGCATTAGTGACTTTAAGAACAAATCTGCTCGTTCAGATGTTTTTCAAGTAGCCAGCAATCTGAAGTCAAACTGAGTTCTTTACTCTTAAGTTCGACACAGTGTATTCAGTGGTCAGATACTACTGTGATGTTGCTGATAGCTGAACTTGACCCTGTAGTTCAAACTCGACTAACAGTTCTGTCAGTAGGTTAGACAGTATAGATCACAGCTCATGCTTAGCTGTGTCTGCTCCCTTAGCTAGAATAAGATCTGGTAGACTTGTCAGCAGATCCGAAAATAAAGAGGTGTCACTTTTTACATAATCACTTCTTAGTTTGAGCGCAGGTGTTGAACTGTGAACTTAAATATTATGTAACTTAATAAGATTTTTCTTGCTAATTTATTTATATTTTTTCTTAAAAAGCCACATATGTAAATCTTTATATCAATAGAATCTATAGAAATAAATAATGGTGGGGCCCGAGGAAGGAAATACTTGCAAAATGTCTTGCATGCAAAGTCACTGGGCAGTATTTTATAGTGTTACCTGTATGGGGGAAATACAGTTTTCAGTACTTTACTTTAGATACCATTAATACATTTAACACATCTTTTTCTAGAATATGCTGAGCTTATTGTAGTTAACTATGCAAAGTATTTGAAACATTTCCACTGGATCTACTTGCAACATTTTCCAGGCAAAACATTTGCTGATCGCTGATTTGCTCTTTTGTAAATTAGCTGTACTGCATCTGTTTAATTCCCTTGAGCCCCACACCAAAAATCTATTTCTGTGGGCTATCAAATACAAAAATGGAGTGCAGTATTCATATGCATATGCTTAGCTTGTGTGAGAATGATATTTAATGTTTCTTGGTTTCCTAAACAGAGCCTTCCATTCCAAAAAATTCAACACAGCATAACATCCCAAGATCATCAACCAGCCCCTGATAATTCTATCCTTAGTATGGTAGTTGGGCAGCTGAAGGTGAGAATTGGAATATATTGTAAAGCTGTGACTAATACTTGTGTTTCCAGTATTCCTTCATTTAAATCAGTTAATTTTTTAGTCAAAGAGAAGTGCTGTTTGAAGGACTTAAGGTAATATCATTACTGTTCTGTTTTGGCCTCAGTTCAGTAGACTGTCCAAAGGCATTGCAGTGGATATCTAACTAGCACATGATAACCTGATACAGTTGGGCAGTTTGGATGTTGTAAATGCTAGTTGTGTTTATTTCTTTCATATGTGAGCTATCCTTCACACTGATAACTTCTCCCCCTTTTTTTTTACATTAGGTGGATAATGATCCAGTGATGGGATTCCACCAGTTGTTTGTTCTCAAGAATATTAGTGACAACTGGGTCTGCACCAATGACATATTTAGATTGGCTCTATATAACTTTGCTTGATTTCCGCCCCTATTCCTAAGCCTCTTTCTACTGCCACTCGCAAATTTTTGACCCCCAAATAAATAAAACAATTGTTCTGTAATGGCATAAGCAGTTTTTTGGTGGCTGAAGGAACACACGTTTAGTCCATGTGTAAGGTAGAGAGTGGAGAGGGGTCTCCATTGTTCATAGAAAAATGATATGCAAGTGAACACATCCCTAAGCATCTTTCAGTGTTGATCACAACACTATCTTATTACCCTTGGATAGTAGGTGTGTGTGAAGCATTTTTACATTATCATATTGATAACTCATATTAGCTTTCTAAACCGAAGTTGACAACAACAAACCTGGTGTATGATACATTCAGTAAATTGCAGCTATATTCAGTAAATCTCAGGAGGAGTGTTGGCTCCTTTTCACGAAATGCACTTTTCATGTCAGATGCCAGAAGAGCACCAGAGCAATGTGGCTGCATATAAAAATTTTTCTTGATATGTGAAGTACTATTAAGAGCTCGCCATGAATGTGTAAGAGGATGAGAAGAGAGTGTCCTGGAGTATTATCCAGAGTTCTGTACTGTCTATTCTGAATTGTTTAATATTGATAAGGGAGAAGAGTAGCACTCACAGATGGTAGCAAGTCTTTTGCTTTAAAGTGCTGCTTGATAAGGAAATGGAGAATTGATGATGTGGTATAACACAAGAACAAGTCTTAGTTAAATTGTAGTCATTTTTTATTAGACATAAGAATTTAGAATCCTTATGTTGAGTCCCCATGTTGCGTTCACAGTGCAAATAGTCCTATTGGTTGTGGGGATGTGGTGTAACTACAGCAGCAGAAAAACTCTTCTGTCAGCATATGTGATATCTCCCTTAGGGGACTCTGGTAAAATAGCTATATTGACATAACTATAGTAGTAGCAGCAGCAGCAGCTCCGTAAGATAGACCAGCCCTAAGTGCACATAGAGGAGTGGCAGCCTGACATACTATACCTACTGAGAGGGCCCTGTGTGTAGGACAAAAATTAGAAAATTGGGGAAGACATTTCAGTTTTAGGAAAACAAAAAAGACTTTCTTTTCCCCCAACCTTAGGAACTCCCCTGAGGGGCCTGGAACCCTTTCAAAAGAGAAACTTTTCAATGGGGCGGCAGATGGTATGTTCTAATTGTTGTGTCTGAAGGAGCTGAGAGTAATTCAAATGTAGCAATGCCCTCTTTTGAAAGGGCTCCAGGCAAACAGAACCAAGGAGGTGATACTTCTCCTCTATCGGGCACTGGTCAGACCACAGTTGGAATACTGCGTCCAGTTTTGGGCGCCACACTTTAAGAGAGATGTGGATAACCTGGAGAGGGTGTAGAGAAGGGCCACTCATATGGTTAAGGGTTTGCAGGCCAAGCCCTGTGAGGAGAGACTAGGGCACCTGGACCTCTTCAGCCTCCACAAGAGAAGGTTGAGAGGCGACCGTGTGGCTGCCTATAAATTCATCATGGGGGCGCAGAAGGGAATTAGTGAGGCTCTACTCACCAAGGCGCCCCTGGGAGTTACAAGAAATAATGGCCATAAGCTAGTAGAGAGCAGATTTAGACTGGACATTAGGAAGAACTTCTTCACAGTTACAGTAGCCAAAATCTGGAATGGGCTCCCAAGGGAGGTGGTACTCTTCCCTACCCTGGGGGTCTTCAAGAGGAGGTTAGATAGGTATCTGGCTAGGGTCATCTGAACCCAGCACACTTTCCTGCCTATGCAGGGGGTTAGACTCGATGATCTGTTGAGGTCCCTTCCGACCCTAACATCTATGAATCTATGAATCTGTGTCTCCGCACGCTTAGGAGCTCATCAAGGTAAATGGGGTCTTTAAATGGCAGGGGACAAGGGGAAGGTGCAGCTGGGTCTGGGGATTATGCCGAACACAGTCCTATCCCACCCTCCTCCTCATCTTTATACACTTAATGATGGCTGAAGATGAGAGAACATGAAACAGTTTTGCAGTGGAAAGTAGGTTGTGTTGGGACATGACTCCCAACCATGGATATAGGTTACAGGATCATAAGAAAGTAGGGCTGCAAGTGATCTAGCCCAACACCTTGCTCAAGATGGGATCAGCCCCAACTAAACTATCCCAACCAAATGCCTGCTACAGAAAATTTTCGGGGATGGAGATTCCATAGCTTCCCTAGGTAGCCTGTTCCAGTGCTTGACACTCTTATAGTCAAAAAGTTTTTCCTAATCTCCAACCTAAATTTCCTCTGCTGTAGCTTCAGTCCATTGTTCCTAGTCCTGTCCCCTAAGGGTAGGGTGACCTGGGACGCTCCTGGATTTTGTAGGCTGGTCCTAGCTGGTTGGTTATATAAGTCCTGGGCTGGAGTCTGGCAGGGAGGTGGAGTAGCATGATGTGCCAGGGTAGGCACTGCTGCTGATGTGCAGGAATAAGGATGTGCCATGTGCAGGTGGGGTGGCCCCTGCTCCAGTCCACCTGCCTTGCTCCTGCAGAGCAGCAGCAGTGCCTGCCTGGCCACTTGCCTGATGCACCATGCCACTCTGCCTCCCTGATGGACTCTGGCCTGGGACTTGTGACCAGCTGGCTGGGACTGGCCTACAGAATCTGAGAGTGTCCTGGCCAAACCCTGGTCACCCTAAAGCCACAAAGAAAAGCCTCTCTAATCACCCTTTGAAGACTGGTACTTGAAGACTGTTGTCAAAGCCTGCCTCAATCTTCTCTTTTTCCAGACTAAATAACTATATTTATTTAATCCTTTCTTCATCACCAGGGATCCCAGCTTTTTCTGTTTAACATTTGCAGATTCTCTGATTAAAAAATACATGATTAAAATGAAACGCCACTATATATATAGGTATCAATTGAACACAATGTTTTGTTGATATATTTACAATTTTAAAGCAGTTTGGAAGCCTACCAGTGCCTCAATCACTATAATAAAATACATTCTAAATACCTAGAAATTTTGGTGTTTGAATTTTAGTTTTTTATCATGGAAAATCAGAGCTCCCCCTGCCCCCTTGCTTCCCCGGAAACACAGGTCCAGGCCGCTAACTCCTAAGCCGCAATTCCCCAGCCCTGCTGGTGCCCCTCAGTTCTCACCCACAGCCCCTCCACCCCTGCTGGTGCTGCTCACACCCCACACAGCCTCACACCCCTGCTGGTGCCCTCACTCCCACCCATAGCCCTCCATCCCCCCACAGCTGCCAGGGCTACAGGGCCAGGGACCTGGGTCCAAAGCCCCTGCCCCTACAGCAGCACCCAAGCCCTGGTTGCTGCCTGCAGGAGGCTGAGGCTGCTGTAGTGGAGCAGAGTGCAGAGCTGGGCTTCCCCTCCCACTTGGGCAGCACAGCTGGAGTGAAGCTCTCGGGAGGGGAGACAGATGCCGGTTACCTGTTGCAGGCTTGGGCTCGCTGCCCTCCCCCTGGGGCCTCTGCAGCCCAACAGGTGGGACCCAGTGCAGCAGGGCAGAGCAGGGCCGGGCAGGGAAGTTCGTTGCCACCGCTGGGAGTTCTGCCCTGCTGTGGCAATGCACCCCCTGCCCGCCTGGCAGCAGTGAGAGGCACAATTCCACGCTGCCACCCCTGCTGCTGTTGGGCGGGCAAGGGGTGCTTTCCCAAGGTGGCACGGGGCCTGCAGTGGTATGGAGCTTCCCCACCCAGCCCTGCTCTGCTGTGCTGAGTCTTACTCACTGGGGTGCAGAGGCCCTGCGGGGAGGGCAGCAGGGCAGGGAGCCCAAGCCCACAGTGGGCAGCCTGCCCCATGCACAGATCTGGGGGCACATGCCCCAGCTGGGCAACAGCCCAACTCCCTCCTTCCCTATGGGGGCCTCAATCCCTGCTCCCCCCCCACCAGACTTACCTGCAGGAGCTGAGCTCCAGGCTGCCTCATGGCCATGTGCATGTGTAAATGCACAAATGCACATGGTGTCCCTTGCCTGACTGTCCTCCTCCTGCTCCCTCCAGCTCCTTAATGGCTGAAACTGCTAGCCAGCAAACAGCTCTTTGCAAAAGTTTAAAATCCATGTGTTTCTCTTAAGGTGAAAAATCTGTGCTTTTCTCTGTTAAAAGGGAAAATGTGCATTTTCCCTCCATTTTTCACAGGAAATGGAAAACCCAGTTCCCTGCTCATCAGTCATGCTTCCCAGGACTCATTTTTGTCACTCTCTGCTGGACTCTTTCTAATCTGTCCACATCCGTCTTGAAGTGTGGGGCCCAAAACTGGCCATAGTACTCTAGGTCAGGCACCACCAGTGCTAAGTAGGGCTGAAGAATAATTTCCTTTGATTTGCTAGTGTCACTCATGCTAATACAACCAAGTATGCTGTTTACTTATTTTGCAACAAGAGCACACTGTTGGTTCATAATCATTTTGCTGTAACCCCCAGGTCCTTCTCTGCAGTATTTCAGCCTAGCCAGTCATTCCCCAGTCTATAATTGTGTATGCAACTTTTCCATTCCAAGTGCAGGGCTTTGCATTTGTCCTTGTTGAAATTCACTTGGTTGATTCTGGACCATTTTCCCATTCTCTCAGGTCATTCTAGAGCCCAGGAGTAACTGGCTGATTCTTTGTCTTTAACATGGCCCAGAATTCAAACCAGTGGGTATTCAGTAATTGCCATTGCTTTCTCACCATTTTCTACCCTTAATGGGCGTTCACTTCTTTGCTCATGTAACAGGCAGCAGATCTGCTGAACACCCCCTACTTTAGCCTGGTGTCATGGTCGGGGAGCAGAATCAGTTCCTCTTGCCTAGGTCTTGTACAGGAAAGGTTTTCAGCATAGTTAAAATGATTAGGAGGAGGGATGTTTAAGTGGGGAGAAATAATAAGAGAACAGGGAGCTGAAAAAAAAAGAAAAGACCTAGTTGGTTACTTGTAGGCAGACAGGAAGCCATGGGGGAACAGATACCAAATGGGAATTAGAGGGGAAGCAATGTAAGAAATGGAAATGGAACTGAGAGGGAAATAATGAACAACAGAGGGGGAAATAATGCTGCCTAAGCAAACAGAACACTTTGTGGGGGTCTAGATCATATCCAGTTATGAAGTCTAAATTAGATCCCAATCTAAATATTTGTAGTAGCTTAAGGGCTATTTA